TTTTTTTTTTGAGATTGAAATGAACAAATATAGAGGACTTTATGTTGTAGGTGTTATCAACTATGTTTGAACATCCTCCTTAAATAGAGATTGGGGGATTTTTCAGAATAAAAAAATAAAAATACATAGTGTAATAATTTTTCCGTTTTTATGATATGTCAAATCAATATAATTGTATGAAAAACACTGCAAAAGCTTCATAAAGAGATAAAAACGTGAAAAATATTCCTCTTTGTAAAACATAATTTTTTCTTCCACTTTATAAAGCATAAGAAAAAGTTCTACTTTACAAAGTGTAAGAAAAACTTACACTTTATAAAGTGTAAGAAATAGTTCCATTTTATAAAAGTGTAGGAAATAGTTCCGTTATATATTAAAATATACACGTTATGGGACTAACGGAAAACGTTTTAGAATATTAGATAAAGTGAAATTTTTTCTTCCACTAAGCCTATTTTAGTTACTTACTAAAGTAATGGTTTATTTTGGTCACTTTTATGTTTTTGTGGCCTATTTAGGTTCCCAACTCACTTTTTGGTGCTTTTTGAGGACAATTATTTAACTACTTTTGTCTTTGTTTTAATCTATTTCCTCAACTTAGCATAAAGTTGTCATGACCTTAAAATTTGTCCTCGTATTAATGTCACATATATCAATACAACTTTCCTTAGTTTTATCACTCAATTATTAGATATAGGTTAATTTTAAAGTTGCGTACAATAGATTTTTATAGTTTTTTCTTCGAACTTCATATATATTGAAAACTTGATGTATCGAATTTTCTCTTCTTTTTTTTTAAATTAATGACGCTCTAATATAAAAATCTTGGATGATAATTATATAAATTTTGAAAAGTTACATATTTAACTGCTCAATCAGAAATGTTAACAATCAATAAATTGTTAATTCGATTGGCTATTTTTTTTATTTTATTTTTTTGGATGGCTATTCAATAAATTTCTTTATAAATTTCACCTCTATACAAGATAGAACTATCACTCTTATTTCCATCTACACTTAAGTTTGTCCAATTAACAATGGCTACTTCCCTATCTAAACAACTTCATTTTCTATTGATACCTTTAATGTCTCAAAGCCATATAATACCATTAGTAGACTTTGCAAAATTACTAGCACTTCATGGAGTCAAAGTCTCAATTATCACAACACCTATCAATGCCAAAAGGTACAAATCAATAGTCACACATGCTATAAAATCCAATCTAAAAATCAAACTAATTCCTCTTCATTTTCCAAGCCAAGAAGTTGGATTACCTCAAGGATGTGAAAATTTGGACACACTCAAATCACTAGAGTTGTTTAAAGATTTCTTTTTGGCTAGTGAAATGATGCAAGAACCACTAGAGAAATTAATTCAAGATTTGGAACCAAAGCCAAGTTGTATCATTTCAACTAGTCCTCTTATTTGGACTCAACAAGTTGCTAATAAATTTAAGATTCCAAGGTATATATTCCAAACTATTTCTTGTTTTACCCTCTATTGTTCTCACATGCTAAATGAAACAAAAATACATGATAAGGATTCATTCTTGATTCCTAATATTCCACACAAGATTGAGTTTACAAAAGGTCAAACATTGAATGGCAATATAACAAAGCAATCTCAAGATATGCAAAGTATTATAGACCAAATTAAACAATCTCAAGACTTGGCTAGAGGTACTTTGATTAATACTTTTGAGGAATTGGAGCCTTGGTATGTTGATTCATACAAGAAAGTTGTGAACAATGTATTTTGTGTTGGTCCAGTATCATTATGTAACAAAGAAATTGATGAAATGGTTGATAGAGGCAACAAGGCTTCAATTGATGAGCATATTTGTTTGAAGTGGCTTGATTCTATGAAGCCAAAATCAGTCGTGTATGCTTGTTTTGGTAGCCTTTGTAGCATTTCATTCTTGCAAATGAAGGAAATTGGATTAGGGTTAGAGTCATCAAATGTACCTTTTATTTGGATAATTAGAGGGCTAAATTTTACATTAGAAGTCGAAAAATGGCTAAGGGATGAAAATTTCGAAGAGAAGGTTAAAGGAAGAGGGATGATTATCCGAGGTTGGGCCCCACAAGTTCTAATATTAACTCATCCATCAATCGGAGGATTTCTGACACACTGTGGATGGAATTCAACTTTAGAAGGAATTTCATGTGGTGTATCAATGATTACTTTTCCTATGTTTGCTGAACAATTTTACAATGAGAAATTCATCGTAAATATTTTGAAGATTGGGGTTCGAGTTGGAGTTGAAGTGAGTATTAACTCTTGGAATGAAGAGAAGAATGGAGTGTTGGTTAACAAGGATCAAGTCAAAAATGCAATAAATCAATTAATGGATAAAGGTTTAGAGAGTGAAGAAAGAAGAAAAATAGCAAAGGATTTGGCACATATTTCAAAGAAGGCAATACAAGAAGACGGTTCTTCATACTTGAATATCAAATTATTGATTGAAGATGTCATGGATCAACTTAAGAATAAAGAGAGGGAAGCCAATAATGTGGCTAGAACAATGTAAAGTTTGTATTAGAAAAGGGTTATTTTTGTAATGACAAGAAAAGGTGGTCAAAATAAGTGTCATTTCTTGTAGTGTAATGTAATATGGAGTATCAAATTATATTATTTTCCTTTTATTTACTTTTTTTTCAAACTTAATTTACGTGATATACTTTTCTTTTTTAGTCTATTTCAAAAAAAATTCTTTTTTATAAAGTTTATATGTAATCAAAGAGCGTCACATTAAGACTTTCGTTAAATACAAACAAATAAGAAATCTATATCATTGCCCTCGTGTGAGCTCGATACATTTTGACATTTTTCCAAACACTTTTTGTAAGACTTTGATTAATCCGTATCAACGAAAAAACCTACCAAGGCTTCACAACTAAGTAGAAATATTTGATAAAGTCATACATCTGAATAATATATTCAAATATATTTTTAATATGTGAAAAAAATAGCTTTGTCTACTTTGGACATTCAATTTAAGAGGCTTAACACAATAGTTTTAATAGTCAACATTGAGTCCTCAATTTAAATTTGATTTGTTGTTTGTAACATTTGACTTCAATAATAGTGTGCTTTATGTTTTCTTTTTGTTTTGCGTTTCAAACAAAAAAATAAAATAAAATGTGTTTTAATTAGAATGATACATCATTAACATTTTAGTTTAATTGATGCT